ATTTAAGGTAACATACAAAAATAATTGTATATCCTATACAAGCAATTTTCTTTCATTGCTAATTGATTATTTCACTACCAGATATAATTTCACAAAGAAGCAAATTAAGACTTAAATGAAATCTTATGTAAATGCTGAAAATATAGTTCTAGTAGCCAACAGTATGTCTATTCATCATTGAACAAATAAGTAACTCCCTAATTAATTGCAATTCTGCAATTTTTCAGTGATATTAGTATATACAGAACATACTGTACAGATAATACATGATTTTGTGCTGTTCTTTAAGACCACTTTCCAGAATAAATGGCACATTTTTGTAACACCTCCTCTGCAAAAGGTGCAGTGGCCACCAGTAGGCTTATGGGTGCTATTCAAATGGTTGCTTCTTATATACAAAGTCCCTTAACATAAGGCCTAGTTATCTGAGGGAACATTATTCTCCCATTATTTCTGACCATTCTAAAAATCAGACTCAGCATTGAGTCTCATCCAAGAAGCAATATCATTTTATGGAAGATGGGAGAAGTTGGTTGCATCATGGCACCTGCCTTTGAATCAACATCCCCCAGATTTAATGTACATTTTCCCCTAAACGTATCTTGAAACTGTGCCTTTTTCCAAGCTTTGAGCTAAAGTAGAATTTTGTAATGGCGCATGGGAAAAACTCTGGAAGGCAGGGGAAGACCCATATCCAGGGCCAATGGTCAGATAAGTGGCTTAGCTAGAAGAAAGAACATGGCTTTGGCAAACATCTCAAATATTTTTTCATAGTTTCTTGGGCTTAAAAGTAACAGGGGATAAATGTTACTTTCAGATTGGTGGCAATCTGTTAATGTATTCTTACAATATAGCAGAACTACTGTAGTACTTTTGGTTGTGCTTCTTGTCTGGACTACCTCACAATACTGACAGATGTGGGTTCCATCTGTAAAAGCTTTTAAAGAACATTTGTTCTATTTCATATTTGGTATTGTTTGTTTTTAATTCTGTTTAACACTTAGAATCATCTCAAGGAGTTTCAGGGGCCTTAGAATGAGTTATAAATAAATATAAATTACAAACTTAATGAAGAACCAGAAGCCAGTCTTTGGACACAGTCAGACCTAAATAAAATAATTGGGGTCAACAGCCAGAGAGAAATTGTATTCACAAGATGCAGCTATTATCATACTCAATACACAGAGTGCTAGATTACAACAGAATTGGATTGTTTAGAGAATGCTGTGGGAAACCTACCCATTGCTTAACATGCTGTATGAAACAGATCAGTATATGTTAAGCCCTAATATGATTTACTGGGTTGGACGTAGCATACTATGTAAAAGCTACTGTTCATTAACCCAGGCTTGGGGCTTAAGCATAGTGTGAATGTAGCTAGTGAATCACAAACTAGCTAGTATTTGTTGAAAGACTGTCTGTTGTTAGTTTATAATTCAAAAGGGTGTCATGTGAAAATGAAGTCCAAGCAAATAAGCGTTCCCCTTTCTGGGTATAAGGAAACTAGAAATGAAAGCTTGAATTCTAGTACTTCCTCCTCCTTTTCACTCTGATATTCATGTTTCATATATTTAAATTAATCGCCGGGGGAGGAATACTATTCAGCTTTTAGATTATGTTTTTGGTAAAGGCGAATTCAGGATGAATAGGAACAAAAATACTGACAATGAGAAAGGAAGACGGAGGAGGAAACCAAAGGAGGAAACCAAAGGATTAATAAAGCCTTCCCAAACTAGCCTCATTTCCTAGCTCAGAAAGGACGGTGATTCGTTCCCCCCCCCCCCCCCCCCCCCGTTGTTAAAACTAACATGGGCGACAACGACGACTCACGGACAGGTCGCGCGCAGGTTAATAAGGCACCTGCTGAACCGTCCTTGCCATCTCCGCCAACGCCATCCTGACGCCAGCTGCTTGCCAACCGACTCCCTGCTAAGGCTGAGGCCAAACCCTGCCAGGAGCCGAGCCGAGGACGCAGGAGGAATCCGTTACCGGCCCCTGCAGTGAGGCAGAGACTCACCGTGAAAGGGTGGCCGTCGTTGTTCCCCACGGAGAAGCAGTTGTCCCCGGGGTTGACAGCCCCCGTCAACACCTGGTGCAGGTTCATAGCGGAACCGTCCTTTCCAGCTCCAGGCCGGCCGGCCGGCCACGCAGCTGCCTGAGCCCACCGCCGAGGCTCTGTGAGCTGTTCGGCCGCAGATCAGACTCTCAGGAGGAGGAGGCGACGGACACACATAGTGTGGGGCGGACCACCTCAGAGGCACCTCCCCGCCATGGGCAGACCAAGAGCTTCTCTCGGGCTAACCACGCACGCGAGCTCCCCTTCCGCCTCAAGACGCCTTCCTCCGGCGGCCTCAGTCCGAGAATGCGCATCATGCAGGAAAACATCGCGAGATCAATTAAGCAATGACGTCTCTCCCTCAACCGACAATCATTTTTTGTTTTCCCTTTCTCTAACATAACAGCACTAGGTTGGTGTTGGACACACGCATGCGCTCTTTTAAAAAACGGGTGAAATTGCGGCGATATTTTACGACAGCTCTCGGTAAAGGTGGCAAGAAAGCTTTATGTTGCATCTGCGTTGAAACGTTTGTACTTTTAGGATGAACGAACGTCACCTTAAGGCGTGTGAAGCGGATAAAATGTATGTGACAATACCAGTGCTAGTTTAGTTCCGTGCAGCGTGAGAACTATTAAATTTCGATAAAGTTAGAATGTTCAGATCAAAGGACCCAGGAAGACATGTGAGAACAAATGGGATTCTCTTCCTCCTATATTCAGTCCTATAGGTATTTACTTAGAAATAAGCCCCACTGAATTCAGTGGAGCTTATTTTTGCAGGTATATAGGGTGTTCAGTTAGTTGGGGCTGGCAAGTAGGTTAAATAAAGCAGGGGTCTCCAACCTTGGCAACTTTTAAGACTTGTGGACTTCAACTCCCAGAATTCCCCATTCAACTATGCCTGTTGGTTTTTTTTTTCTCCTCCCTAGAGTGGAGAGATTGCAGAGGAAAGGATTACAAGAGAATAAGCAGGCATAGAATTGAAGTATAACGAAGCTTGCTGAGGAATTCTGGGAGTTGAAGTCCACCAGTCATAAAGTTGCCAAGGTTGGAGACCCCTGATATAAAGTCTTCTACATTACAACATTACTGAAAAACTAAGTAGGTGAGAACTAGTCGGATTCCCAGTGCTGTTCTAAGTTTCTGTTTAGGTATTGACTTTGGACTCTCAACCCAACCCATCTCAGGGTTGGTGTGGGGAAAACATGAGGAAGGAGTATTAAATATATTCATCATCTTGAGTTAGTTTATAAACAAATGTGGGATAAAAATAAATTATACTTCAAATGCTAAAATAAAATTGAAATACTTTCTCATTTTATTTAGAACCATGTTATACGTGTGGACTGTGCATTTTTTCAAGCTAACCAACCACTTTAATAATTGCATGAGCTGATGTTTGACATATTCAGAGACTATTAAATTGATAAAAGCTGGTCTATATAGTGATGAAACAGGTAGATGTGGTAAGGAATATCTATAGTGTCTGAACTTTTAAGCTACAAGTATCTGTGCATCCTAAATGTGATTCACATATAGTTCATGGTGGGATTCACATATAAATAGTAAGCAACTAAAAGATTACAATTATGGTTACAATTCCAGATAGTAAACTTTCTCCACTTTTACACAATTTACTACAAGGCTATGTTTACACAGCAATGTAATCCATGGTTTTAACCTTAATGTATATAGCCAGTTGGCTTGGTTCATAACAGTCATAAGTCATAAACCTGGATTAAAAAGCCAAAGTTTGGGTCACCATATCTTACTGACATAAAAAGGAAACCACATCTTTAAGTGAGGTATGCAACTCCAAATTTATTTTATTTTATTTAATGATATAAATCTAGAAATGTTGTACTGTGCATATTGAACAGTTCTATTTAGGGAGCTTCAGAAAAAGGAATTTATGGATAAATAAAATTAAACTATGTTTTTCAATCCCCAGAACAGTATTGTGTTAGATTTCAGGACTTCTACAAAATTGTGGATTTTAGATATTAAGAGAAATTTGAGTTCAACGCTTTAGAGTTCCTCTACAAAAAGTGCTTTGGAAAATGTGGAGGAATGACTTTGGTATCTACCTGCCATACCTTCAGATAGATGCAACTTTTCTCAAAATTATGCTGTAGTTGTGGAACTGATGCTTTAAAAAAAGCATACCTGCTTTAAGATGTATATAGGTGCTGTGCGCTTCATATATCAAAAATACACTTTTGCATCTGCATCTTAGGTGTTGCACAACCAATCTTGAGGATTTATGGAATATTCACTACAGTAGGAACAGGGCTTATATGTGATTTTTTTTTTAGTTTAATCTTATGCTACTTGGCAAATCATTTTGATTGTCCCATAAACATGCATAAGATTCAAACTTCATTCACAAAGTGTTAATAGTTTTTCCAAGCCTGGCACACGGTAAACTTGTTGGGACCTACCCAGTGACTGAGAGTTTGGGGAGTAGTAAGTCCTAGATGTTATGTCTGCAAAAAAACAAGGCACCAAAAACCATTCAGCAGTTTCACATACTGTGTAACTGAACATTCCATGATCACCTTATAGTTATTTAAATTAAATCAACTGATTTGAGTAAACCATTCTGAGTAGAATCAAAGATTTGAAAGTAAATTGGGAAGATCAGTTTTAAAGGGGCTGCTCTGTTGGTACAGATTACAAGACTTTTATCTGTAAACACGCTTTCCTGGAATTAAACCCTTCTAACTACGTGAAGTATTGGCAAATAAACTTGATACTAAACAATACCCAACCGCACCCGCACTGCTCCACATCACACGAAACGAAGGAGACTTTCCAACGGAGCCCTCTTGCGGCCAATGAAAAACCGCTTTTTTGAACCTGTTGTGGATGCCAGGAAAGGGGGAGGCGGACATTCTAACCACGTGTCCAAGCTTTGCTTTTCGGGCTTCTTCAGTTTCAGAGCCGGTCTTTCTTCACGTGATCTTAGAGACACATCAGGAAACAGAGGCGAACCAGGCTGCCCTTTTTGGCTGCTTAAGAGTTTCAAGGCAGTCTTCCTCAGCTGTTTGCAGACGCCAGGGATTACAGCTGGCCCGTTTTGCACATAAAGCGGTTGAGTTCTGGAGTTACTCCTTGTGGCAGCCATGGAAAAGGGGCCGTGGTCGGTTGACGCGGCGGGGAACGCAGAGGAGCAGCGGCAGTTTACAAGTCATACACCTGATAATGCAACTAAGGAAGGCGAGGAGTGCTGCGAAGGTCTCTGGGAGCTGCCCGTGGAGCTTAGCACGCGAAGACCCGAATGCGACCGCTGCGGGTGAGTGGACTAGCAAAGCCGCCTGTTCCATGAACGGTCACGTGTCGCTGAGTTTCTTTCCCCCCCCCCTTTGGTTTTTCCCGCCCTCTGCTGGCTAAGAGGTCGCAATGCACTTGTTCCGCCCGGTCTCTGCTTGTTTTTTGTTTTGTTTTTTTACTTCCTTTGCAAAACAAGGCTATTTCTCTGGGCTTTGTTCTCACACTTCAGGTGTATCCATGGCCAAACTAACCACAGTCCTCCACGTAACATATTGGCCAAACTCCACTCCGAACAGTACTTAATCACACGGGTTCTGGTCGTAATTCCAAAATACAGCCTCCTTGTCTTAGCGCCCTCCCAGGAGGACTTTGACTGTTGGACACCTCCCGTTGTTTGAACGGACCAAGGAATGTCAGCCTCTTATTTGCTTGGATTCTTCCTTTCGGAAGAGCTTTTCGAAATAAGTTTACAGGAGGCACTAAACTCTAAAGGCTCCGTTTAGGCTAAAATTAGATGATTAGATTGTGGTTTGTCAGCCAGATGACACCTGGTTGATATTGAAAATCTAAGGAAGGGTCGGGTAATGTATATGCGTGGATGGGAGACTACCAAGAAATCCCATATTTGTGGGCTACATTGTTATGTTAAAAATAAAAAAAAATATTCTCGACAAACTATTTGAAATGCGTAGGTGAAGTTACCAGAGGATAAGCTCAATTTGAAGGAGGTTTTATAAGTTACCTCATCTGTTCGTTTTGTCATGTAAATACAGCTAGCTTTATCTGTGGAAACATTTGATTGCTGAGAAAGGGAGAAATCAGATAATTTATTTCCTTATTTAGTCCATCTGTGTGTGTGTGTGTGTGTGTGAAGGAATATTGAGTAATTTGTAGCACTATTTAGACTTCATAAAAATTTATCCCCCACAATAATTGCCTAAAGCTATACTGTACATCATTCTAAGTAGACTGCAATGTGATATGGTCTAGTATAAACTCATCCATTATGCATTGTAAGCCACCGATTGTTTTAGGAGGCAAACACAGTCATGCTTAAAATCATGTGGTGTAGCATAATGTGAAAATATTTTCTCATCCCTAAGCCATGTGATTTTAAGCATGGCTTTAAAAGCAAAATTTGCTTTTCTGCAACCTGCTATCTCTACATTTGTTTGAAACTGAGTGACTTTATAGTTAACTTTCTTGAAAAGTACCTAGATGGGAAGGTGAGATTATGAGAATGTGAGCAGTAGTTACATGTAACAAGAAGATGCTACTTCAGCTATTCACTTACTTGTTTATTTGTGCAGTCAAACTTTCTCAGGCTGACACACTGTTGGGAAATGGGTCTAAAAAGCCCAGTCTTCTTTATAGCCTACCTGGAGATTGAGAATAAAGACACAGATATTTCCAGCTGCTTTTTTGGTATTACCACATAAATGTTCATTGTAGAATGAATAATTCAAGTAGGAATTTTATAGAATCCAATTTGCATAAAAATAAGTTTCCATGAAGGAAATACCTTGTAAAATTTTTTACAATTCATATGTTTGATTAAAGATTTAATCAAGCCATTTGTTTTTGAAGAAAGAACTTTTGTTTCATGAAGATAAACATGCATATCTCAAGTTAAGGTATCATAACTATCTAGAAATATGCATAGGGTTACTATAGCAATATAATTTAAATGTTAACCGCTTTGGCTCATTTATGGCTCAACATGTTATGTATATTCAGGCAACTGAATTAATTTAGTCACATTTAAATTAACATGACTTCAGATACATTGGTGTCCCAAAGTCTGGCATTTTGGGACTGGTTTTGTCCTGTTCAGGACTTATCAGATGTTATTTTGTGAGGTCCAAGCACTCGAGCTTTACATCTTTTCAGAGGTATTTCCTTATCAGCTTTCTCAAAAATGACAGAATTTCTAATGTATTGCTTTCACTGGAAAAGTTTGGATACATTCAGAGATATATCTGCCTTGAAAAACAGCTCATGTTGAACTGTATAGCATAGACAAACATCAGAGCAAACTTTTTTATGACATTTTGTATTTCATAAAATGCTTTATGATAATTTTATATTATAAATTGTTTTATAAATTCTGCAAAATTTCAATTCAAGTCATGGATTCTGGATTTTGGACACATTCTGTGAGTTGGGTCATTTGAGGTAACATCCATTGAAAACTTCGTGCCATATACTGCACTGTTTCACTCAGTTAAAGGTTACAGGAATCATAATGTTAGTGATAGGTAGATAGATGAGTTGTGGCACATGAGATAGTATATGAAGTCATGTAAAAAACTATGAACAGAAGGGCATTTACAATATGTAACAGTGTTTATGTGCTCTTAAAGTAGGGGTGTCAAACTCGTGGCCCATGGGCCAGATTAGTCACATGATGGCCCCACCCCGCCTGGTTTAGCAAAGGGGGCAAAAAGTCCCGATATGTCATGTGACACCGCCGTGATGACGTGAGTTTCACCTCTCTGCTTAAAGGAAACTGGACTGGTAGATTACATGACTTCTGAGTATGAATATGTGCAAAATGATACATATATGTGGAATCATCAAATGTGACACTTTACACATAAACTTCACACTTCACTTTAGTTTAATCAAAGTGGAAAAAGCATGCATTATGGAATTATTTCTCTCCACTTGTTTTATTATACAGGTAGTTCTCAATATACAACCATCACTGAGCCCAAAATTTATGTTGCTAAGTGACAAATTCGTTAAGTGAGTTTTGCCCCATATTACGACTTTTCTTGTCACATTTGTTAAGTGAATCACTGCAGTTCTTAAATTAGTAACACAGTTTTTAAGTGAATCTTGTTTCCCCACTGACTGCTTGTCAGAAGGTCGCAAAAGGGGTTCACATGATTCCGGGACACTTCAGTTGCCAAGCATCTGAATTTTGATCACGTGAACACAGGGATTCTACAACGGTTGTAAGTGTGAACAATGGTCCTAAGATTTTTTCAATGCTGTTGTAACTTCAAACAGTCACTAAATGAACTCTTGTAAGTCGAGGACTACTTGTAATCTACACTATATTTGTCTCTGGTGCTAAAAGAGATTGCACTTGTATATTTTATAATGTTAATTGCACAGATTCAAATAACTTCTAATATTGTAACAACAGTTCGGTTCTTATTTGGAACAAATGTGATAATCTTACTTAGCTTGACAAAAGTCCTTTTGCTGGTTACATTTTCAGATAAGACAAGGGTGCATTTAACTGGAGTCAATATTATACTGAAAGACATGAAATAGCTATGGTATGTGATATGTCTTGATGATCCTGTACTGCCATCTAGTGAACAGTTCCATACATTAACAAAATTTTGTATTATTGTAACTTTTTTTTCTTTTGTGTATATTGTACAGATTACTAAAATTAGTAAGTGAATGTTTGGAATATCATAATTCAAGGGTGTTTGCTAAATTCATTTAAATACTGAGAGATATTTTAATATACCCTTTTCAGTACTCTAAACAAATTAAAATTTGCATGTGGTGCAAACTAATGAATGCAAGTGCATATCAAATCAAAATAGCACTTGTCTCTAAGGTACTTACAGAAAGCCTGGGAAAATGTGCTTGTCAACACTTGTTTGTTAAGGATCTGTAAGTCTGTTTCTGAAAATAAGGTTATCATTAAAAATGGAGGAAAGAGGCAGTTATTCACCTTCTTTAGGAAGTGCACAAGGCAACCATGTTTCATTTTAAAATGCTGTAGTACTGGCATTCAAGATGCCACCCAGCCAGGAATTGATGTTCCCTTACCTCAATGCTCAGCATTCCATCTCTGCTTTATATTTTTGCAAATGTCTGAGTTTCTTTGCACATATTGGTCATTTCAGCTTGTTTCTGGCCCCATTTTTATTCCTTAGTTGAATTGCTGTTTTTTTATAGGATATATGTTTAATTTTTTAAAAAGTGTTACTGAAACTAGGTTATAGTACAGTAATTGCAACTACAATAATACTCAACTGAAGAAAGCATAAAAGTATAATCTCAGTAAAATAGGGCAAACTCTTACTGGGGACAATAATATTTCAAATCACTTAGTCCTAAATCATGTAAGGTTTTATATATCATAATCATGTCTTTGAATTGTATCCATTGTATTAGGTACATTTTATCAACAGAAGACTAACAACCTTTAAATCATTCAGTATTTGGAAACCACAGTTTTGTATTTGTTCACAGCCTGCATTTAGGAAACATAGTATACTGAAACAACTGAACAGCCATTCATTTTACTGCATAATTTAGAGCACTGTAAAGAATTTTAAAGCTTTGAATTATTAAAGATTGCAATATTTTAGAGATTCCTTTTTCTCATACAAAGCTACCCATATATTGAAATTACCAGAGACTTTCCCATATATAATTATAACCTCTGATATACTTTTTGATGGGACTAGACAGAATTTCTGGAAACTGAGCCAAAAACTAGAATTCCTTTCAAGGGAACTCCTTCCCGTTAAAAGATGTTACATGTTGCTGTTTCTCTTCCTGCTGTTTTATTCTTGACATTCATATATATATATATATATATATTTGTTTTCTTAAGTTTTCGCGGGTACTCACATGTATACTCACATGTATATTCATATATATATATGAATGAATATATATGAATATATATGAATATATATGAATATATACAGATGAACACAATACAGAAGCCTGATGATGGCAGATGAGATTCTGCCAAAACGTTGCTACAACTTTAAAAGCACAATTATAATGACGTGGGAAAATACCCGAACAAAGCTGAATAACATACATACATACATACACACACACACACACACACACACACACACACATATAACTATTATGAAGCACTTGGAACTTTGTGGAGGATTGGCAGGAAGTTTTAAATAATATATAAGCCCAGGGCTCAGCAATTAATAAGAATATTAAGTTGCGGAATCCAATTCGGCTGGGTAAACTTTTCAGGTAATATGCACTTTGGTTTTAAGCATATGGATTATTTAT